GCGCCCGGCTCTCCACCGCCCCCCGCCCCCCTCCCCCGGGACCAAGGGGCGCAGAGGGGGGAAGCCGCCTGATTGCAGGCTCCGCACACTAATGGGATTGCAAGAGCGCCCGCAAGAAGGGATTGGTGATGAGAGGAACTCGCCGAAATGACATTCGGTTTTATTTTTAAAGTCTGTAGCAAAGGCAATGGAGAAGGAAACACATTTTCTGCAAACCCAGCTGAGTGCAGGGACTAGTTCGCAGAGAGGGTCAATGTTGCAAATCGTCTGTGAAACATGAGAGCAGATCCAGTCATGCGCAGCCAATGCATTACGGACCATTATGCTAAGTGCGCTGATGAAGAATGCTCTCGATCACTCTCCACAGCGACTTTCCCATACGAACCGGGATTTGCCAAAGACGGAGATAGTGGCAACATATTGATACCACTTACTTGAGCATCTGATTAGTTCCAATCAGGCCCTGCTGCGTGCGCATGGCTGTACACATGTCTGCTTCCTGAAATCCTCCGGCCGGGAATCTGATCTGCCCGACAGGACAGAGTTCATTCCCAGGCGCTCATTATTTCACGTTTGCTCATTTTTATCACACTCTGCAGCGGCGAGTCATCTTACCATTCCAGAAAGTATGCACAATGTCAACATCCCCCGTGCACAACTGACAGCAGCCTTGCCTAGAAAGCCCCAGACAACTCCAACTGTGGTCATTTCGGAGATGTGAAAACTCAAGCAGAGAACAGATCAACTTTCCTCGCCAACCCACACAATTTCGGAGCTGGGCGAGGACCCAAGCGGGAGCTGTTTGTATTCCAGTTTCACATGGACTGGTTCACTTGCCCTTGGGTCTGAATCACCATTTTAACACTCCCTCTCCCGCCCCTGAAGGGATGTGAAATAGATTGTTTTACCAACAGGCCTGGGGCTGGCTGCCTGGCTCTTTATTCCCCCGGCTTTCCTATGTCTAGATCTCACCCCCGCATTTTACCACCGTTCCCTCCAGAGCGGAAGCCAGTCTCCCATGTGAGGCCACCCAGGCCCTCCCCGGGCCATCGATTCCTTTCAGCACCAGACGTGACAAATCAGCAAAGTGGTCGTGCGGCTTTTCTAGGTCACTCGTCACCCGTTTGTTTTTCTGAGTGATCAGCAACTTACCTTGTGCTTCGGTTTCCTGAGATAGGAGTTCAAACGCCACGGAAATCTGCTCCCGCGGGGCCGGGGTCTGATGGAGACAGAAAGCCGCAGGCTCACTCTCCTGCCAGGGGTGACTGTCAATTTCAGCCTCACGCTCCCAGGCCCGGCCACCCCGCCCCCCGCCAGCCGGGGCGTCACGTGCTTGGCCCAGCCACTCAGCCCAGCCGCCCGGCCCAGCCCAGCCCTGCCCAGCCGGCTCTGTCACCTCCACCTCTGCCCACTGGAGGCCGGGCAGGCCGATCTCCTTCGCCTACACCCGGTGCGGTGCGTTCATGCCCAGAGAGACCCGGAATCCCGACCCAGGACACCCTGCCTGGCGGCATGGCTTCTGTGGCTGGGGCTCCCAGAACCAAAGGGGCGCGGGGGTCCCTATGAAATGCCCTCCTGCCATCAGAGGTGGCTGGCTGTTGGCAGGAGTGGCTAAAGTAGAAGCACCTGCCTCCTCGCGGGTGACAGTTTTGCCCGCAGGTCGGTTTCACCTTCTGTTGACAAGGTGATGGCTCAAGTGTGAAAAGCCTGGCAGCTCGCAGGCGACTCAGAAGAGGCGCGACCCTGGGCCGCTGAGAACTGCTGCTCAGAAAAATCTTGAGGAAACAAGACGCCAGCCAGGCTCTGGGGTTAATGTTTAATCGTCTGGAGGCCGGGGCTCAACTTCTCTTCCATTTCAATTCACATCCTACTCGCCCCGTGGAGCTGGAAGGTTCCTGTTCCCGTCTGCATGACACGGTTCTTCAGATATTGTGTTCCCACCTCTGCGGTTTCCGTCCTGCCCACGGCGCCCCTGGCTTCTCACAGGTTTCGGGTTTTATCGCTTTGAGTCCTTTTCCTCTTGATGATCTGCTGCTGGGACATTTGGCAACGGATGTCGCCACACCGGGAGGGAGACGCTGCTGGCACCCAGTGGATCGCGGCCAGGAGTGCTGCCAGGGCAGCGCCACGGCAGCGAATGTTCCAGGCCAGGGCAGCAACAGGCAGAGGTGGAGAGACCCTGGTCTACAATTTCGCATAAAGTATAATTTGATGCCCAGCCATTTTTAAGAGTGCACCCTGTTGACCAATGTCACCCCAATAAATTTAATTTAATAAAAACAACAGTGTATAAGGCGCTGGAAATTCTGTTCCTATATTGCCTGCACGTTCTACACTATTGGCTGCATGTCCCTACGCTATTGCCTGTACATTCCTACACTATTGCCTGCATGACCCTACACTATTGCCTGCGTGTCCCTACACTATTGCCTGCGTGTCCCTACACTATTGCCTGCGTGTCCCTACACTATTGCCTGCATGTCCCTACACTGTTGCCTGCGTGTCCCTACACTGCTTCGTAACCGATGTGTGGACACGGCCAAGGGTGGTCATTTCTGGGGCCGAGATCCGGTGGAAAGGAAGTTGTCACAGGCACAGACACACATTACATAGTCAAAACCCCCACACATGCTTATCAAAACTTCGCCCCATATTTTGAGCCAAGTGGATGAAGTTAATAAGGCTACAGTTAGCCCTGGCCAGTGTGCTCAGTGGTTACCACATTGGCACACAGACTGAAGGGTCTCAGGTTCAATTCTCAGTCAAGGGCACATACCTGGGTTGCAAGTTCTAGCCCCAGCCCCAAGGTCAGGGAGTATGTGGGAGGCAACCAATCAATGTGTGTCTCACATTGATGTCTCTCTCTTTCTCACCCTCTCGCTCTCTCTCTTTCTCTCTGTCTTCCTCCCTCCCTTCCACTCTATAAAAATCAATGGGAAAAGTATCCTCTGGTGAGGATTAACAACAATGAAAGACTACAATCAAACACACACACAGCCGTAAGAAAGGCCCAGGTGCACCAATTTATTTGCACGCCATTGTCAACTGCATAAGCCCACTCTGTGGGGACCTGCAGGGTGCATAACCGCAGGCTGGTTGGAAATGACTGCTACCCTTGCCCAACTGCAGTCGTCAAAAACAGCCTGTTTTTATTTTAACACTAGAGGCCTGGTGCACGAATTTGTGCACGGGTGGGGTCCCTTGGCCTGGCCAGTGATTGGGCTGATCAGGGGCGATAGGGGCTGGCTGGCCACAGAGGGACTGCCAGAGGGCTCCAGGGCGTGTCTGACCCTCGCCCAGTCCCGATCAGCGAGACCCCAGCAGCAAGCTAACCTCCTGGAGTGTCTGCCCCCTGGTGGTCAATGTGCATCATGGCAACCACTTGGTCGGACACTTAGCATATTATGCTTTTATTATATAGGATGTGACATTTTGCGCATTGTGAATTTTTGCACTACATGTGATTTTTATAAATATTATCTTGATTACTGATTTTTTTGGTGCCCACATACATTTGCACCCAAGGCGCCTTCCTCCCCTCCTCCAAACTCCAGCCTGACTATCTGGTAAACTCTTCTGTAAACAGTGGGTCTGCCAGAACCTGGGTGCTCTTTCATCTCTGATGCTCTGAGCTCCTGCGCAACTGAGCACATTCTCAGAATGAATGAATGAATGAATGAATGCCTTCCCCCACACCCAGCTTGACCACTGCCATAAAAGATGTGAGGAACAGCCCTAGTTGGTTTGGCCTGTGGACCAAAGGGTCCTGGGTTCAATTCTGGTCAAGGGCACGTACCTCGGTTGCAGGCTCCTCCCAGGCCCATGTCGGTCAATGTTTCTCTCTGCCTTTCCCTCGCTCTTCCACTCTCCCTAAAAATCAATGTGAAAAATATCCTTGGGTGAGGATTAACAGCAACAACAAATTCATTGAAATGAACAAAATGTAAAATTCAGTTCCTCGGTCACATTAGCCACATGCCAAGCGCTCTGTAGCCCCTGTGGCCAGCAGCCACCAAATGTAAGGCAGAGACACCACAATTCCGTCGCCGCAGAGTCCTACCGAATGCACTGTAAAGCACTTCTTTGCAGTTAATTCTATTGCAATTAAACACTCACTGTTTATTACCCAGGGGATCCGGCCTGTAATTGCGGGACAGGAAGCGCGATCTGGCCAGAGTATGTGCTGGCGGGAGAGGCAGGAGGCGCGCACGGAGCCCAGGGGCCGCAGGTCCCGGGCAGATGCTCCCACCCGCAGGAACGTGTGGCTTTTGGGCTTCCCCAGGGGCCGGCGAATCTTGTTCCAGAATGAGAGGGGGCAGCCGATCATCTGTTTCAAAGCAAAATTGAGCCACAGGAGAAGAGCACACGCATTGGAATAAAAGAGCAGGCCCTTCAAAGATGAGGGCTTCTGGGACGGCTGAGTAACAACCCCCCCCAAGCTGTCTGCACCCGAATTCCTGGACCTGTATAGATGTTACCTTAGGGCAGTGGTCGACAAACTGCGGCTCGCGAGCAACACACTAAACACAAAAAAGAACCGCAGGAAACCCGAAAGCCGCAGTTTGCCGACCACGGCCTTAGGTGATAGCTCCTGAGACCGGGAGGCGATCCTGGGAGATGTCATCACAGGGGTCCTTACGAGGGGCAGGCAGGAGGTCAGGGTCAGAGAGAGAGGTGACAACAGGGGCAGAGTACAGACCGACCTTTGAAGATGCCACTCCGCCGGCCTGGGAGACGGAGCGAGGGGCCAACGCCAACCATCACCCTGATTTTCGCCCAGTGAGACCCACAGTGGACTTCTGACCCCCAGAAGTATGAGAATGGATCTGTGTCGCTTTATGTCACTAAGTCCGTGGTCATTTTTCCAGCCGCCATAGTCACCTAACAGAGCCCTGACCACCGATTTACAGGTCCGTGATGATGGAGCACCCAGAGCACCCAGTGCCAGGCTCTAGAGTGACCAGGGGCCCAGCCCCCGAGCTCACCGTCCACGGGGACAGGGAGGACACGAGTCCTTCGCATGGATGTGGGCAGCTCTAAGCAGAGAAGCACTGAGCTTTCAAAGCAGGAACTGCCAGTGATGGAAGGAAACACACACACACACACACACACACACTGCCCCGCCGGTGTGGCTCAGTGGTTGAGCATCAACCTATGGAACCCGGAGTCACGGTTCAATGCCTGGTTGGGGCAGATGCCTGGGTTGTGGGCTCAATCCCCAGTAGGGGGCATGCAAGAGGCAGCCAATTGATGATTCTCTTTCTATCATTGATGTTTCTCTCTCTCCCTCTCTCTCTCCCTCTCCCTTCCTCTCTGAAATTAATAAAAATATATTTTTTAAAAAAGGAGAGGGAGATTTAGAGGCAAAGAGACACAGAGAAGGCCACATGAAGACAGAGGTGGAACTTAGGACCCCTAGAAGCTGGAAGAGACTTTGAGGGGAGGGCAGCCTGCCAACACCTTAATTCTGGGCTTCGGACCTCCAGATCTGAGCAAGAATGACATTTCTGTTGTCTTAAGCCACCTGGTTTGTGATAATTTATTATGAAAATCCCAGGAGACGAGTATGCATGTATGTATGTATCAACCAATCCATGTCTGAGCCCCGATTGTGCACAGGGTGCCTGCTTGTCATGGAACACTCACAAGAGCTGGCTGTACCACAGGCCACAAAGAAAACCTCACAGATTCCAAAGAACAAAAACAACACAAGCAGGATATTCTGACTATTTTGCAATAAAAGTAGAAATTAATAACAAAAATTTGTAAAGACCTTTACCTCTGGAGAAATTTTTCAAAGACACGTCAATAAACACCTCCTGGATCAAAGGGGACGCACAAAGGGAAAATATAGACTTTCTTGGGAATAATCATCATGAAAACTGGACATATTTGTTGGCAGAGAAAAGTTGATAGCACTCAATTGGCTTAAGAGAAAAATAAACACACCCAACTCAACGACAAAAAGGCAACTAAGTAAGACAAAAAACAAAAACAAAGAAACAACAGAAAAAAAGAATTAATAAAAATAAAACAGTATTTCATGAGATATAAAATTTAAAAAAATAGAACCAACAACACCAAAAGCCAGTTCTCTTTTAAAAATAAAAAGTAAAAACAACAACAAAAACCCAGTAACAAACCCAATCAAGGCAAAACCAGGGAGAAAACACACACACAAAAGGTTGGAAATGACAAGGGGAGGAGACCCAGGAAACGAAGGGACTTGCCAAACATTCCTCTGTACAGCTCTCTACAAATACATTGGAAAACAGAGACGAAATAGATAATTTTTAAGAAAAATACAACTTCCCAA